CAGTGCAGATGGAGAGGAGAGGGCAAGTTCCAGGGACACCTGGGAGGTCGAACTGATAACGTGATCATGACAATTCAGTGTGGAGAAAGGCCAGAATAAAGCATGACCCCCAGATTTCTGGCTTGGGTGGATGGCCATTAAGCAGAAAGCAGTTTTGGGAGGAAAGTGATTTCAGTTTTGGCTTTGTGGAACTCGCAGTGCCCGGGAACTGCTGTACGGACAGAAGCGTGTGTTTGCAATGCAAGAGGATTTCCCAGGAGTGGGGTTTGGGAGTCATCGATGGGGCCATCAGGGAGTCAGTGAGATGTCCAGGAAGAGTGTGTGGATGGAGTAGAAGAGTGGTAACGACAGAGCCCTGGGGCCGCCCACCCACACTTACAGGGTGGGAGCAGGAAGGGGTGTAAAGAGGCAGAGGAGGGTATATTCTATGGAAGCAAAGATGAGTATGAGAAGGGAGTGGGTGACAGTGACAAATGCCATGAAAGCTGAAGCAGGATAGAGTCCAGCTATTCAGTTTGTAACTGGAAAGCCATTGGTGTGCAGTTGGAAGCATTTTCAGCGGAGTGGGATGGCAGGAGGGGCAGCAGCCAGCCCATAATGATGTGGTGTATGAATTCAAGGTAGAAATTACAAGAAAAAGTGTAGCCTACCCTTGCGAGAAGCTTGGCTGTGAAAGAAGAGAACATAAGGAGTCATCAGCAGCCGTGTTGTTGATCATTGGGCTAATGCTTTCTAAAGGTCTCATTGCTAATGTGTTTCTCCTTACGGAGTGGAACAGTCTCAGACTCGGTGATTCTTTAATATTCTTAAAGTGGCGCTTTTTGCTTTTTGTTCATGATTTGACCAGTGTAAAAATGCTCAGCTACAGCTTGCTTCAAGAACAAAAGTTCTTCTTATCATGGAATTCTTGAGGCCATTAAGTTGTTTGGAACATTAAAAAAAAAACCAAAATAACAAAAAACCCTCAACAGAGCAAAAAGTTGTGAAATTGAAATACAAAAGAGATTTGGCTTGTTTACAAGAAAGTAAAAGACAGTGAGAATACATGACATGACTTTATAAGCTCCGGTTATGCTTTTTTGCAAACGACTTTGTGAAAAATTTTCCTTCTTTGTTGTCTTTAAAATATGAGCTAAAAAGTGAGGATGCTTGCAGGTATTGTGTGTCCTGGAATTGCTTTGAATTGCAGTTGGTGAGTGTGAGAACAAATAAATCCCAAATGATTTGTGATTTAGATTTATAGGCACACGTTCATAAATTGCGTTGAGTCAGTAACTCCAGAAAAACATAACCCAGGAGAATTATTTGCTGTTTATTCGTTTACTCCACAAAGATTTAGCAAATACCCATATGTTCAAGCCTCTCCTAGATCCTGTAGGAGGGGAAGTAGGGGATTTAAATAATACTGCTCATACTTGGTAGAAGTCAAGATGTGCCTTAAGAGGTATGGATGAGGGATCAGAGAAGGGAAAGGGCCTTCTGATGAGTGATCAGGGGAGGCTTCTTGGAAGAGGTGGCATTTGAGTTGTTTGCTGAGAGACAGCTGTTCTTTCTTTTTGACTAGTCTGTTTCATGTAATTCCCTCGACTATTCTCTTTCTTAAAACTGTTCCCCTGTTTGATTTTCTGAGGCTCTATTATCCAGTACCTCCTCCTGTCCCTGTGTTCCCTGTCAGGATTTTTTATGGTTCCTGTCTCCTAGGTCCTCTCGTCTTTCTTTTCCCTTCTTCCTCAGGGATATAATTTCCATCTGCAGCCTGGGCAGGTGACTCTAAACCCAGAGCTTGAGCCTAAGCTGTCTCTAAGCCTCCATCCTACCCTTCCAACTTGAGGCCTCACTAGCAGCTCACATTTCACTTGTCTGAACTGAACTCTCCCTCACAATACACAGCCTCATTCCCTCTCTCTCTTCTGTCCTTTTTCTCTCTGCAGTAATGGCTGAGTGCCCACTAGGTACTAGGTGCTGGTCGATCATTCTTTTGATTCCTCATGCTTGGAGTCTCAGTCATTTTTGTTCTGTCTCCCTTACCACCCATGTCTAAATAATTAATTTCATTTCTCTTCATTCTTTCCAATATGTTTTAAAATCCCTTTAGTTCTTCTACTCATGCCCATGATCTGTGTGTTTGGATCACTGCAACGTACTCGTGAATGTCAGTCCCCTTCCTCTTCCTCCTCTTCATTTGTCAGTATCACCATTGCTTACTGAGAGTCTGCTGTGTTCAAGATGTTGCTAGGATGCTGTACTCTATAGATAGAAAAATGGAGTAGCAGGGGAGATAAAAACTGGCCTGAAATAATGAAGGAGCCCATCATCAACTCCAAGGTGATGAGCCCAGGGGGTGAGTCAGCAGTGCAGAGTGAGATCAGAGGTAGCTGGAGGAAGTAGACCCCAAGGTCTGGGAAGACGAAGACTTAGGCATGTGGGGAAGATTTGGGAGAGGGTATTGAGTGGTGGATGGTGGCCCCATGGTAAACATGTGAGGTGGAAATCCACGTGGTGCAGTAAGAGACAGGTGAGTTGAAAAGTTCAGCTGGGACTAGACTGTGATGGGTCAGGTATACCAACGTGAGAAACCTGGGCTGTGTGCTATAGACGTAAGGATACAGGGAGGGAGTGGATAGAATTAGGGAGAGTGTGATCTATGAAATGCTCTTTAAAGAAAATCTGGAGGTGGTGTATAGGCTGTTTTTGAGGGAAAGGAAGGCCAATTAGGAGATCTTGCAGAAGTCTGCTGTGACATTTTGTTTCTTTTCCCTAATTTATTCAAAACACAATGGCTGCCAGATCATTTCTAAGTCACAGCTTTGATCCTGTCAGTCTCCTGCCCAAATGCCTGTGGTGGGTCCCTGTGCCTTGAGGAGTGGTTCTTTTGCTAGGTTTGGGGGCAGCCTTCCTGGTCATACTTCAGCCCACCCTTCCAGCGTTGTCTCCACTTCCTACCCTTGGCAGGAACCAACCACTGGCCCTCACACAAATTTTCCGTTTTCTCCAATGCTTGGAAAATTCTAATTGAAATATCACCCAGCCTTCAGCATACGTATAATGCCTTTCATGGCCCCTGCAGCCCCCTGCCCCCTACTGAAACTTCCCTAATACTTTCTGTGTTGTTTGTTTTTGATTAATCAACCACTGACATGATTTTTTTCTGTAGCTGCTGAAATTGTTCCTTAGTGCTCATACTGCTGTTTGTATGTTTTGACTTTGTTTCTCCAACAGTCTGTAACCTCCTTAAGGGCTGGTACCACGCTTGACACTTGTATGTGGCTGTAAGTAACACCTTGCATCCACTGCTGCCCCAGTCATGATATTTTGAACATGATATTTGCTGACCTTCAATTTTGTTTTAACCTGTCCAAGCAGCCAGGCATATTATGGAAGATGCTTGCAGCCCAGGGTGATAACACATTCGAGGACCCCTGCTTTCACCAGGCAGTGGGCATTGAGTGGGAAGATTTGGGAAGAATTTTTGTTTCTTCTAGTCTCCTGTCCCCTTGTGTAGGTGGGCTTGATAACCACAGGGGAGTCAGGAATATCCCCTTGAGTTTTGTTGGGTGATGGGTTCCCAGCTTCCTTTACAATGAGGCCCTTTCTTTAAAGGGAATTAGTCTACTTTGAGTTTTGTGTTTTGAGATAACTATCCTTGAAAACCAGGACACGATAATAACTAAGTTAAACTTTTTTGATCTCAACTATCGAGAAATCTGTTAAAAGTGGATGCTTATACTTCGTTGTTAAGTGGGTCAAAGGATTCTGCAGAAGCAAAATGAGCGTTATATGGATCACAGAAATTGCAAGCATGTAGGTTCACAAGGACTAAAGGCTGGAAAACTGGCCAGGGGTATAAATCACTTGCTTTTTGGTTAAAGGCAGTGCATCCTGAAGATTCTAGATTAGCTTTGTTTCCATGTCCAGGGTCGGCGGGCTGGCGGGCATTCGAGGTAATGGCTAAGTAAGACGTGGGGTGGCTTTAAGCTTTTATGCAGGAGCCTGTGCTTCCATTCTCCAGTAATGTTAAACCTTGCTAATTTGTAAGGGGTGATAGTTGGGACTCTAGGTTAACTGAATCTTCCCTGTGTATTTATGAGAAGAAAGGGGCAAAAATTAACAGTGTAAGCAAGACAGTTGAGAGAATATTCAGAAGCGCAAACAGTTGTGAGCTCTCTCAGCTAAGACAGAAGCACTTACTTATGTAGAAACAGCTGACCTGCTAATTAGAAAACATCCTTGCCTATTCATTAAACTAATTATCCTAAGAAATTCTGCTAGGCAACACTTAGTCTAGATCTAATTACTGTGTGCCCTTGAAAGCAATAAACTGCACTTTAAAATAAAATTTTATAATTGAGACATGGTTTACATGGTTTGCTCAGACACTTCCTGTAAATAGAGTGGGGTAGGAATGAGGGGTTGCACTTTTGTTTTTATAAAAAAGGGAGATTATAGTGAATTATTAAATAGTATATGTTTAGATCTGAGCACTCCTTGGAGATCATTATTGTTTAAATATGAGAGGTATTTTTAAAGGTTTTTTTGGGATTACCTGATTTTTTTTTAAGAGGATGAACATCGTGTTATGATTTAAGACAGTGGTAAAACTTTTCTGTTGTAAACTGAGCCATCATGTTCAGATAAGAATAAGGTGAGTCATCATTCATGTGGCCACTTTACCCTGTGTCTCCCAGTTCATCCTGCAAAACTTTTTCTGACCTTAACCAGAACACTGATTGAGAGTGTAGTGAAAGAGGCCATACTGTATACCCAGTGCTCTGCAGATGATAGCAATTATGTGAACAGGTGAGCTGGTGCTGTCAGTGAGACTCAGCTCTTGATCAGTATTTGGATTGGGCCGTCTGCTTCAGTCTTAGGGATGTGTGCTTCAGAGCCAATACCTGGGTTTGAAGCTTCCATCCAACACTGTGATCTGGGCATTCTCCAGCTGGTGTCCTTGGGCAAGCTACATAAAGCTCTGGGTGTCAGTTTCCTAATCTGTAAATGGGACTAATGGTAGCTCCCACCTCCAGGGGTTGTTGGGAGGATTAAGTTACTCCATGTAAAATGCATTTACGTAGCAAGGGCTCCATCCATCCACCCACCCATCCATCCTTCCATCCTTCCATCCATCCATCCATCCATCCTTCCATCCACCCTTCCATCCATCCATCCATCCTTTCATCCATCCATCCATCCATCCATCCATATTCCTTCAGCCCCTGTGTGTTGTGCACTCACTAGTGCTGGGCCCTGCTGTGGAGCTGGCGTTAGGGGTACAGCAGTCAGACAGATGAGGTCCCTGTCTTATTGGAGCCTATATTCTAGGGGAAAAGACCATAAATAAGTAAACAGATTAACAAGTCCAGGTACTAATAAGTGTTACAAAGACAATAAATAGGGAAATATAATAGAGTGACTGGATTAGGGGGTGACAGGTCAACATTGGTTACGGTGGACAGGAGTGCCTGCAGAGGAGATGACATTTGAGTTGAGATCTGAATGACGAGATAACTGTTAGCTCTCATTCAGTTTAGGAAGTTTTCCTTTTTGTCAGTGGCTCCTCTCATATTCTTATTTTAAAATCTCTTGCCATCAATATAAAGTCCTTTCTAGCAGGACACCACTAGGAGGTCTTGAGTCCCTCTCCCACTAGAAAGTGGACTGTGTTTAAACAAGTGATTGTCAACATCTTGGAGCTCTCTTCCCCCTGAACTTCATCTTGACAGTACCCAGATCTGCCCGCCCCTGGGTCTGTCTCCCTTGGCTTCAGCTGGGTGCTCACCCATCTTGTTATGCCGCAGTTCCTGGAAGAGCCTGACTCTGTTGTTCCCACCTGACAGGAAGTACAGGACTGGGTTGAGGCAGCAGCTCAGGCTCACCAGAGGTCTCCACAGCTTGTAGGCTAGGCTGGCCACCATCAGGAGCTGACAGTTCTGTGAAGGCAGGAAGCGGAGCGTGAGGTAGAAGAAGCGCATGATGTGGAAGGGCACAAAACAGAGGGTGAAGAGGCCGCACACCAGCAGGATAGTCCGGATGGACTTGGCCCGGGCTGTGCTGCCCACCCTCGTGAGGCTCTCCTCTGACTTGGTCAGGCTCCTGACCATCAGTGAGTAGCACACCAAGATGACCAAAGAGGGAAAGACAAAGCCAGACAAAGTCAGGACCATGCTGTAAACAAAAAACTGATCAAAATTCTTCGGGCTGCTCGTGTCATAGCAGACCACCTGGCCATCGACGAGGTCCGTGTGGGAGAAGACCAGAGTGGGCAGCAGCTGGAGGACCACCAAGGCCCATGTGGCAGCGGTGCCCAGCAGGGCGTGCCGGCGGGTCCGATAGGGCAGCGAACGCAGCGGGTGGCACACGCCCAGGAAGCGATGCACGGAGATGCAGGTCAGCAGCAGGATGCTTCCGTAGAGGTTGGTGTAGAACAGGAAACGCACCAGCCTGCAGAACAGCTCCCCAAAGGGCCACTTGTCACCCAGGGAGTAGGTGATGATGAGGAAGGGCAGGGTCAGCACATAAAGCAGATCGGCCACCATCAGGTTCACCAGATAGATGGTGGCGCAGCTCCAGTGCTTGGTTTGGCGCCAGGAGTGCCACAAGACGGTGCCGTTCAGGGGCAGCCCTAGCACGAAGATGATACTGTAGGTCAGGGAGAGGTAGATTTGCTTGTAGTCTTCAGAGAAGTGGCAGAGTCTTTCTTCCTTTGAGGTGTTGGTATCTAGCTCTTCCATCTCCTGAGAGGCTCCCTCTGGGGGCACAGCTGCTTCTGCTTCTTCCCCTGGGAGGAAACAAAATGGATAGCAGGTATCACAACCTCAGCTGGGTGTTGGTCTCTGCCTTGATTCAACTCCCAAAGTCTGGGCAGAGTCCTTGTTTGAGAGGGACCCGCTCCAGGAAAAAAAAAGAATTAACCTCAGGGGCAAAGCAGTCTTTAAAAGCAGGGCTTTAGACTTACCAGGTCCAAAGGGCCGCCTTTACCCTGACTTGTATGTCCTTGGCTCCAGGCTGGGTTGATAGGAGGCTCAGGTACACATGGTGGCAGGAAGGTGCTGCTGTCATTTAAACGGGACACACCACCTCCAGCACTATGACTTGCCCTCTGGCTAGACTACTTTGCATAGAATTAAGAAACCTGTAAGAGGACATCCTCCGGCCTGAGATGCTGGTGCATTCCCAGGGGTAGTATTGCCTACAATCTGGCCCTAACGCTGCATACGGTGGAGTAGAAAGTGATCTTTGGGGTTAGGGAGGATTAGGGAAAGCATAGATTTTGCCTATAGGCTCTGCAGGAGGATTTCGATTTGTATTTCTCTGAGAATTTGTTAACTGTGTATTTGAATCCTGAAGCTGATTTGCTTATTAGCCATCTCAGCATCCCGGACATCCAAGAAAACAAGGCTGAGCCATGAAGCCAGGTGCGGCTTCTCTCTTACTCCCGTCCCTGCTGACAAAGCAGAGGCAGCTGTGTGTGGAGCCTGCAGTTTCCAGTGCGTCGGAAAGTCAGTGGGTCAGCCAGCCAGTCAGCATGGAGGCTGCAGGGGTAGAAAGAAGTTTATTTTTAGGGTTTAACATTCAGAAAGACCAGTTAATAAAGGGCAAGAGAGGGAGTTAAAGATGGGTAATTTTGGGGTAAAGTGAGTGTTGACGGTAAACTGTAACATATAGATACTTAAAACAAAAGGAAGGGAGACCTCATGCACTCTGTCTGTTGACAAACACTTAAGGAGCATCTATTGGTCAGGCCCTAGGGATGAAAGATGAATAAAGTCAGCCCTCGCTTTCCAGGATCTCATAGTCTGGTGGGGAAGACAAAGAGAGCAAATCATAATACAGTGTGGAAAGTGGTCAGTCAAATGCTGTGAAACCCAGCAGGGAGCTGAGGGAGTCGAGTGGTGAGAAGCCCTATGAGCTGCCTGGGAAAAGAACCAAGAGGACCTCACTAGGAAAGAAGGGTGAGGGGCACTTGGGGCTGGATTGGGAGGCACAGCACACGCAAGGGGACGGACTGGAAGGGCTCGGAGTGTCCTGGGCTGGCAGGATTGCCAGCGTTGAGGGTGAAAACCAAGCATGCCACATAAAGAGGGATGTGCTTAAGCAGGAGAGTGACAGGCTCAGGCTGTGTGGGAGGAAGGTACTGGGCAGCAGTGCAGAACCGAGGCTGGAAGTTCAGACCGTAAGGGGCCTCCGAAGCAGTGCGTGCAGCTGAGAGATGCTTAGGCCCCAAGCGAGGCCACTCAGGGTGGCTGGGGAGGGGGGACCTGATGCCAGAGACACTGCTGAGGCACGAGTGTCGGGACTGATTGGACGTGAGGCACAAGCCAGAGGAGGTGTTGATTGTGTCCCTGGGACGCAGTGGGTGGTGAGGCTAGTGCCTGATCGGAAACCTGAAGCTTGAAAGCCAGGACTGATATTCTGAGGCGGTGAGGACATGGCCCTCTGTCACCACCTCGCTGACTGGCTTTAGTAAGATCTACCTGACGGGGAGAGCAAAGCTTTTCGGCCAGGTGATTAAAAACAGTGTAGTTTTCATTCATTTTGTCCCCTGACATCCTCCCTGTGGAAGGCTGGCAAACACTGTTACTTCCAGCGAAGCTGCCTTCCCAGCTCGGCGTGGACTCTCCGAGGGAAGCCCAGGAGGGGAACCAGTCTGGTTCAGCACTGGCTTGGGCCGCCAGCTACCACCATGATCTTACTTAGTCCTCAACAACCTTGTGGCTGAATCATTAGCCCCATTTTACTGTGAGGAAGTCGCGAGTCAGAGGAGACGCCCCTGCGGGGCTCACTAGGCCCTCCGGTCTGGTGGGCTTGCTCCTGATGTGGGCTGTGGGCTTCTGCCCCCTCACGGCTGCGGTGAAAAGCACCCAAATCCCAGCTCTGTCAGGCACCATCAACAGTCTGAAGAAGCAAGTCACCTTGTCTCTCTGAACCATGGTCTGCCCAGCTGTAAAATGGGGCAGTGCTCTGTGGCGTTGCTGTGAGAATTAGCTGGGAGAGAGGCATACAGCCCTGCCCCACGGGAGTGACCCAACATGTTCCCGGTCTCTTCCCACCCTCCTCCCTCTTCTCCTGGAGACCATGGTGCGTTGGAAGCCTGAGCTGTCTGGTTTATGTGGGAGGATGGGAGGGCCACAGGCCACAGACTGGGTGGTTTAAAACAACAGAAATGTATTTCTCTCATGGAAACTGGGAAGTCTAAAATCAAACGTATATGTATTTCAAGAGTTTAGAAAAGGAAAAAGTTATTAATAAATTTGAGTAATAACAAAATGTTACTGCCTTTCAGTTCTGGAGGAGTGGTTGTTGATTGAGAAAATAAGATTCCCCTAAAAAAATATTTTGGTCCAAAGGAGTGGGCATTGCTCATTTTAATTTTAAAATGCCATTTTGTATTATAAATGTGTTTAAATCTATAAATTGATTTTAATATTTAATATTTTACCTGTATTGGAGACCTTTCTTAGAGAAATGTAGCTATTTAATGGAGTCTCACAAATGTCTTCAGATAGTGAACTTGTTTTCACAAGTTATTCCAAAAAACTGGTGATTAATATATGCATTTGTTTAAAATTTTTTATTTTGAAATTTTTATACAATTTTTAAAGGTTACATTCCATTTATGGTTATTACAAAATATTGGCTGTATTCGTCGTGTTGTACAAGACTTCCCTGTCTACCTCTCTATCTGCCTGTCTACCTCGGGGATGTGGGGAAAACAGCATGGAGCTTTCTCAAAAAGCCACCGTAGTATATGTATTTCTTAATTTACAAATATGGATTAGAGATTTATTATTCATATTCACAACACAATTATTTGACTTTTCAATAAGTTGTAAAAATGGAGTCCCAAAGTACATTTAATTAAGTAGTGTATTGAAATAGTCAGTGGTTGACTTTAAATTACTTTTCCTAAATGTTTCAAATCCACTCAATAATTTGGTGTTATTTGGCCCATAGACCACTGGATGGCGATAAAGACTGATAGACAGGTTACAATTCTCTTCCCGCAAGTGGAAGTAGGAATTGAGGTTGGGCTTAGGTCCAGGCATAGCAGCTATAGTTGAGATATAATTCTTTGAGGAGATACCAAAAATCCTACCAGCTAATCCACCTCCTACTAGTCTTTTGTCTGAAGTTACTATGTTAGGTTCACACAATAAAATGGTGTTAAAGTCAGATGAAAGCAGCCTTGCTGAGATTGATTTTAAAAAAAGATCTTGTGAGATAGGCATGGCTGGCATTATTCCCCCCACTTTACAGCTGAGCAAACTGAGGTTCAGTGGAAGTCCTATCTGTGATTTGGGAAAAGCCTGGACCTCTTTTACAAAGCAGATACTGGGCAAATTCCCAGATTTCCAGGGAATATTTTCTTATCCACCTACGTGCTCTTATCCCCCTAATCACACAAGAAAGAAAGAAGACATGGAGATAAAGGAGCAGATCATCCGTGAGGTCACTAGATCTAGTGCCTTTGTCACAGGTGACAGAACCCTCGCTCGAAAAGCATGATCTGGAGATAATGGTGAAGAGAGGGAACACAAAATAGAGTTTTAAAAACTGTCAAGAATGAGACCCACACAGCAACCCATACTTGAATCTTAAGATAAAAGGCACTCCCATTAGCCTTTTAATGATTTTGTTATATTTTTACAGTGTGGGCTTAAGCCTGCTGTATACCTGGATTCCTCTTCCATGTGTGAATTGTCCCAAAACATAAGCATCTAAGGGCTTTTATTTTTTCACAGGGAAAAGCAAATTGGATCCTTTAAATAATTTAGAAGACTGTCTAGAAGCGGTGAGTACTTAATTTCAGTAATTAATTTATATAGCAGCTTGCACGTTTTTGTGTTCTGTTGACAAGGACCAGACATAATTGGCAGCTTCAAATTGGTGTAAACACAGGGAGTGATTGGGAAACATCGCTCTGACATTGCATTGTCACAACAGAGAAGGTGGCTGCTCTGAAACTGATGCTACACTGGAAAAATCATCACTACTGAAAAAAAATACTCTTTTTACTTCATCTGTTCAAATGTGTGGTACCCCCTAAATGACTTTGAAATCAGAATTTTTAATATTAAGGATACAGTAAAAATAACCAGAGCTATAACATCCTGTGGTTGTGGACGTCCATCATTGCCTCTGGGCTCATGACCCTGAAAGGAGATTTTCATGAAACCTTTTTCTTTTTCCATTTGGCATCAAAGATCTTTAAACACATCATAACCAAGTCTTTCCCTGTGTGCTGCGTGCAGAAATGTAGAGGGCTGGTTTGGTTTGGGGCAAGAGAGGAGATCAGTTGCAGAGCCTGGGGCTTGAGGGCTAGTGGCAAAGTTGCCCAGGGCATCTGCAGAGTAGAGGGTTTGTATCTTAGGACCCAGTCTTCAATCCATTCTTACCCTCAGGCATCAGGTTCCCCTCATAGCCTCCTTTAAATGCCATTCATAGGAGTAATGCACTGATGGATGTGCCATCCATCATCAGAGCCTTTCCCGGTGTTGCTAGGGTGGGGGCAGTGGTGGGGGGAGGATCCACAATGGCCCTGGACACTCAGTATATGGGGGAGGAGGGTGTATGATGTGCACCATCTTATTGGGGAGTGTAATCCTGGGGAACAGGAGTGAGGGACAAGGGGAGTGACCTGGTGAAAGAGGGAGGGCCAGTTTAAAGACTTGAAGGTGCATTGTTGAGTTGGTCCCCACAAAAGGCAACTGAGTGCTCAGCCCCAAAGGACTGTCTTCTGAGAACCTGAATCAAGGCGTCTCAGGGAAGTCCTCCCAGGACCAGAAAGAAGGAGGCGTTTGTCCACCAGCTCCTATCTCCCGCTGGCCAGGCTCCACTGGTGGGTGCACGGTGTGGCCTGTGAGTGTTTCCACCAGGAGAGCATCAGAAAGAGGAGACACACTGAAGAGAATGTGTTTTCTCATGGAAACCCATTTTCTTTTTGCCCTATGAGGTGTCCCCCCTCCCTCCCAACACACTTCTGTGTTGCTTCTACGTGGGAGATGAGGGGCTCCTGCTGTATCTGGATCCGGATCCTTTTTTGTGAAGAGATTCTTCTAGTTTCTTCTCGCTCATTTTTTTTTCTATTGGGTTGTCTGTCTTTTTTGTTACTGAGTTTTAGGAGTTCTTTACATATTTTGGATAAAAATATTTTCTGTTACTCATGTTACCACTATTTTTTTTCCTGCTCTGTGGCTCTCCCTGACCTAATAATATATATATATATATTTTTAAGGAATATAAATTCTTAATTTTAGCATAATTGAAATGATCAATTTTCCTATTATGGTTTGTGCTTCTTGTATCTGGTTCAAGACTCTTTCTCTACCAGGAGGTCATAAAGATGTTCTTCTGTATTAGCATATGAAAGCCTTTCCCATTTAGACCTAATTGATTTTGTCCTAATGAACGTTTTAATGTCTATATATTTGCCGCTCGCACTCACTCACGCTCGCTCGCTCGCGCCCTCTCTCTCTCTCTCTCTCTCTCTCTCTCTCTCTCTCTCTCGTGTGTGTGTGTGTGTGTGTGTGTGTGTGTCTAAGAGACACAGAGAAACATGATTAGATAAGATGCTGTGTGGAGAGTGGAGAACAGGGAGCATTGGAGACAGGGGGCACTTGCTCTAGTCTGGGAGGGACATCATGGTGGCTTTGACTTGAATAGTGAGGGTGGCAACAGTGAGAAATGGGTGTGTTCAGTGGATATTTAGGAGGGAAATGAATGTGACTTGGGGATGAGTTAAATATGGAGGAGGGGCTGAGGACGACCCCTAGTGACGCTTTTTCTGCTGCTTCGCCTGCTGCCTTCACTTTCTCTCTCTTATTTCTCTATTTCCTTGCTTCTCTGTTCAGTTTCTACTTCCTTCTCCCTTCTCCTGACTCAGCTTCCCCTCTGGGCTTCCTTTGGCGTCACTGCTGTTGCAGATGGCTGACTCTGCACACAGAGCCATAGCAGTTTTCCCAAGAGAGTCTGACTGAGCCGGGTATTCACCATGATTCCTGCTTGCGTAGGACTGCCACAGCCCGGCCTCTCACACACTGTGGCTCTGCACACATGGTGGCTGCCTGGGTGGCCCCTTCATCATGGCCTGGGGCCGCTGTGATGGGATCCCGGAATTGGGAGCAGAGCCTCTCTTGATGGATGCGTCCTAAGGGTAGCTCTCTCTGTGGTGGCTTTAAGGAAGACAGCTCCCCTCAGAAGGAGGCTGTGAGCAGCTGGGACGTGGTGTATTCTGTGAATACAGAGGAGCATTAGAAAGAGAAGATACATTGAAGAGAACAGATTTTTTTTTTTGCTGAACCCCATTTTTCTTTCATAATGTCTAAATTATGAACTTGCTTTCTAAAACACATATTTATAATAGAAATTTCTCATGACTCTTAAAGCAACTGAAGATAGCAAATGTAACATTTGAAGGTGGTCTCCAACACAGTTTCATTATTAATAGTATACCATTCAAAGCTTTGACTCTGAGATTTTTTTTCATGCATAAGCCATAAATTTGAATTGACAGTCCTATTAATGATGGAATGCAGTTATGTATGTTTATGGTAAAAGAACCAACTGGATATTTTTTGAAGCTCATTATAGGCAAAGTGTATTGAAACAGTAGTCATAGAGAATGAAAACAGGCCTTGATGTCACGTTCAGTAAAACATGTCAGAGGTGAGGTTTCAGAAAGTGCTTCAGTGAAATACGAGGGGAAGGTGTGGAGTTGCAAGGGGTTTCATTTAGACACAAAGCTCGTGTATTAATATTTTCATTGATTTATTTTCATGCCAATATGTTCTGACATAAATATGGTGATCTATAATGCATCGGCCATAAAAGTCAACATTATTTTTAAAGCTGACTCAGGGAAATAAAACCTCATTGTTAGTGCTATATATACGGTATATTACTGTGTAGAAAATTAACCTCTCCTGTCCTGCTCCCAAGGAAGCTAAATAAGAGGGATGCATTTTAATAGCCACTGACCCTTGTTGCATGCTTCCTGGCTAATCTCCAGTGTGCAGTGGGACTGGCCCACAGTGTGATGTACAGAGCAATGCATAGTCATTGTTCCAGGATAGATTCTGCCCAGAATGAAAGCAAATCAGCGAACATCTCCACATTTTAGAGGATCAAAATGCCTGTGAGACTCTCCTGATAGCTGTTGTGGAGACATAATTTATGTCTTTCATATGAGAGCAACAGTGAGACTAGGAGCAGTGTGGAGGCCCTAAAACAGAGAGGACACGTGGGGACGGTGTCAGCTGTGGATGGTCACAGAGAAGAGACTTGGTCTGGAATGCCAGAGGCAGGGAGCACACCCCAGGGCTCTGCCCAGGCCAATCACAACAGTGATGTGGCCTTCAGTGAAATGACTCTATGAAATGAAAGGCAAGCCAAGGAGAACTTAACTTAGCAATGTAGGAGAGAATGCTAATGACACTTGTGCAGATTTGGATGACTTCTTCCACTAAGTTTCAGAACAGAACAAGTTTGCTGAAAATAACAAAATACTGAGAATTTTAGAGCTAGAGGGGTAATCATTTGATAGATAAGGAATCTGTTAAACCCCAAGGGATTAAGTCGGCGGTTTGTCCAAGGAGATACAGCTGGTTAGTGGCTGAGCTGTTTCTGAAGTCCAGATCTCCCAATTCTCTGTCCAGGGCTCTTTTTGCTCCATTTAATCAATTAGGAGCCATGAATGATAATACACATACTTGGAGGATATTCTACAGAACTACCTGAATCTGGTTTCCAACCCACCACTGCTTTGAAGCTGATCTCACCAAGGCTCCTGATGGCCCCCACATTGCCAGATTCTCTGGGTACTTTACTGACACAGTTTAAACCTCTCATCAGAATATGCTGCAGTTGAGTACTCCTTGAAGTGTCTCTTCTCTTGCTTTCTCCGTTAGTTTAGACTTTGAGGGGGGAGGGTATAGCTCAGGGGTAAAGTGCATGCTTACCATGCATGAGGTCCTGGGTTCAATCCCCAGTATCTCCATTAAAAAAAAAAAAAGACTTCATTGCTGGCAAGAGAAACTGGCATCAAAGATGATAAGGCTGAGTGATAATTTACTGGCTCATATAATTGCTGTCCTTGTGGGGCTGGATTTAGGTACAGCCTGCTGCAGGATCTGCTGCAGGAGCTCAGATAGTGTTACTAGGACTGCTCTTTTTATGTATATTTCTTAACTCCATTTTTTCCAAATTGGCTCCATTCTCATATATACTCTCCCTTTATAGTTATAAGGTGGCTGCCATAGACTCCGTTCTTTCATTTAATTATGTGCAACTCCACCAGGAAAAATTATGTCTCAGCCAGAAAGTCCTGGGATTAATAGTGATTGGCCCTACTGTCTTGCCCTAGACTCTGTGTCCATCCCTGAATCAACCACTGAGGTCAGAGGCACAGAATGCATTGATTGGCCTAGGCCTTGGTTAAATGCTCCACCCCTAGGACCCAAGGCAGGACTGGCTTCACCCAGATCCCATGTATTCAAAAAGATGGTTCTCCTAAAGCATATTTGGGGTCCTGTTACCACAAGAAAGGGACTGAATACTGGACAGCAAAAGCAGCAGATGTCTAGAGCTGCTTCCCGGACACCACACTTTCCTAATGTGCCTCCTTCTTCACTCTTCAGTCTCGCTCCCTGTGTCACCCACCTTGGCTTGAGCTCTCCTGCTGGATCTCCCTGGGGCCCAGCTCCACACCTGCTTCCTTTCCACGACTGTGCTTGTTCTCAAGGTGATTTCATCCGGCCCACCGGGAAAGGAGAAGCTGGACAAGACCAAGGTACTCTGAGTCAACCTTGGCTCACACGGCACGTGACATTAATTGTAGGCCATGGAATTTAATGAGAAATCGTATTTAATGGGAAATCTTGAGAGGAAGACTGTTGACACAAGTGTATCTGAGAAGGCAAAGCACTGAGCTTACTCCTTAGCCTTCATTCCAAAGATAAGGGACAAGATTGGAGAATATTTAAAAGTAGTTACCGTAAAGGCACAGAAAATAAAGTGTATTAGCCAGCTAGCTTGAAAGTCTTGTTAAGGTTAGATCTGTATATACTTGCTCTTCTCTTTGTGAAATTGAATTTCTGGCTGGTTTTTTGTTGTTGTTGTGTTTTTTTTTGGCTTTTTTGGTTAGTTGGTTAAGAATTGTCCTGGGATATTTGCCCTCTTTATTATAAGGGTTTATTGTAATCATCTTTGGACTGCAGTCTTTAACCTTGAGGCTGTGGTTACTGCAAAGTTTGTTTTACATATTTGTTGTGGGAAATTGCATTCATTCACTATATGTCTGTTATAAGAAATTGTATATATTAGAGTATGTCTGGGTAGGAGATTGTATTTATGTACCTAAGTGGTCCTGTGCCTACCAGCACTGTTAAGACTTTGCTAACTTTATTCCATAACTCTTTTTCTACATAAATTCATAAACCAAATTTCTAGTCAGAAACCATTAAGGCCCTTTTTCTTGGCTTTCTTGTTACAGGGTTTATTTGAGAAAAATAAATTTGTGATTCTAGAAGAATAATTTCTAAAGAGTATATGAAACTTGTTTTCTTCACAGCATCCATGTCTTGATAACTCCCTGATCCATACCCACAGGTCTCTTCTGTGCCCTGAGCTCCAGACTTGTATACCCACGTGGCACTCTCTGGATATCCTGCACATTTCACCAACCGAATGTGGCCAAGAGTGAACTCCTAATTTCCTCATTTTTTTCTCCTACCAAATTTGTCTCTCTGCTCAACAGTCTTTATCATTTCAGTAAACGTCACTGTTACATATCCAGTCATTCAAGCAAAAATCCCAGGAATCATTCTCCATTCTTCTCTTTTCCCTTTTCCCACATCAGTCCATCACCAAGTTGTATCAAATATCTGTCAAATGTTTGCCACTGTAATCTTTTGCCCACTTCATCTCTACCCCTCCCTGGTATCCAGGCCGCCTCCTAGCCTACTCCATGCACAGCAGCCAGGCTGGTCTGTATGAAGCATAGATCAGACTGTGCCCTTTTCAAGGCATTCTGTTCCTTCCTGTTGTTCTTTAGAATAAACCTCAAATGTCTTCCCATGGACTCTAAGGTCCTGTGTGGTCTTGTCCCTGCCCCACACCCAACCTCGTCTCATCCTCTCTTCCCCTCAGTTACGGGGCTGTAGCCACACTGGCCACCTGCAATGTGTCAGGTGGGTTATGGGTTAGCAACAGGAGAAAACTCTCTCTCTCTCTGTCTCTTTCACACACACAGATAAACACAGACACACACACATCCTGATTGGTGGAGTCAGGGCCCAGAAACTTCAGAAAATGGGTGACCATAGAGGAGAGGAACAGATGCAGTCTATTTCTGATCAGACTTTTTCCTCTTTGTTAATTCCCCCATGTGATGTCTGCACAGAACAGGATAGGGTCCAGCTGTTTCTAACTACCAGATTTTTGCTCTACCATAAGTCTTTTATACATAGGACTCACATCAAGACATAGCCTAGTATTCTATATACTCTGCCCTTAGATTTTCCAGGCTTGAACCAAATTTAGCATCAGCAAAGCCACATCCTCTTTAGAGGAGAGTCAATATTCAGTGAAGTCTGAAAAATATGTCTGCCTCAAGCTTTTAAGCTTTCTAGAAAACCTGTTTCTCCGTGGTCCCTTCCTTGACTCTGATTTGGGTTATTCTGATGCAGAATTTGGTCCTAGAACCCAAATCACAGGTCCACTTCCCTACAGGCCTGTCTATTCCCTAAACATGTCCTGCTCATCCATGCCCCATAATCTTTGAGATTCTTGCCTCTACTACTTGGAGCACACTTTCCCCATCTCTTTCTCTGTGTGGCCAAATTCATCTTATCCTTCAGATCTTAGCTAAAATATCATGTTCTGAGAGGGCTGTTTACTATGCAAAACAATTTGTACTGTAATTCCTTCCTATGGCACCTTACTTTCTATATTTTCCACAAAACCTGTATTTATTTATTATTTTGTTTGGTTTTTGTCTGTCTCCCACTAAAATATAAGTTAACTGAGGTCAGGGACCTTGTCTGTCTTGTCCTTTTTTATATCCTCAGGCCCAACAGTGGTTTGCACATAGTTGGTACTCAACAGATCTTAGCTAAATGAGGAAATTCCCTGCTTACTGTTCCAGAAGGGAGGGCGACAGGTGTCTTGCTTTGTTGAGGGTCATGCTGTCTCTCCTACCCCAGCAGGATGGACTTTTTTTGCCAGATTCAAATAGATGATGACAGGCTGTCCTCTGAGATGGTGTTTGTTGGGTAAACACCATCATGGATGGGCATAGAGAAAAGTAGCTTGAGCCTTCAGCCCCCAGAGTCTTGGCTCTTGGGGTGTTAAACTTCTCCATGGCCCTTACACTTCAGCCTCCTTTCTAGAAGCCATGGGTGATGAGATAGAACAGCAAAATTTCATGCTCTCACGTCTTGATTCCTTTGATATGAGTTGTGTGTTCTTGAGGAGGATAAACAAAAAGCACCTATTAATGATTTTATAGCTAACTTTTCACACTGCTTTTGGAAAAAAAGTTCTGTGAATGTGGAAGTGAATACATAAAAAGAAAAAACAAGAATGTATTAGGTTGGTCTCTCTACTCACAGTTTTATATGAGTTGTTTAGTGATGACTGGCCAAGCATTTTTGTTGTTTTTGCTGTTTCTTGGTAACTGTATCTGTCAGCTTTTATTAGGTTATGCTGCAGTAACAAAGAACCTTAAACTCTTAATGGTTTAAAACAGCAAAGATTTGTTTCTCATTCATTGTATGCCAGTGTGAGTGAGGGTCAGCTCTTCTCCATGTCTCTTCTTCATCCTGGGATCCAGGCTGAGGGAATGGTCCCTATCTGGGACATGTTTCCTAAAGCAGAGGGGAAAAAGAGAGAGAGGAAATATGCAATGCCTTTTAAAGCTTCTGCTTAGAAAGACAGTGACATGCTCCACTTCTACTTGCACATCATTGACCAGAGCAAGTCACATAGTCAAGCCTGGCATCCATGGGATGGCTTAATCCCCTCACAGAGAGACAGAGCAGATGATCAAGAATGGTAATATACTCTTCCACAGGAACTTTCTAATCATGATCTAAAAGTACTCCTGTTGCAAAGTTTTGGCAACTTCTAATGAATGAAAATTTCATGAAGAATGAATATTTTTAATTGTCATGATGTGTATTAGCAATATGTACAAGCCACATTATGCAGGACAAAGTGCATGATCTGGAGAATTTGGAGTCTTTGCCAGTAGTTTACTTTGTGAGCTTGGAAGAGACATTTAGTATCACTGGGCTCCCATTTCTACAAAACAAGGGGTTTAAATTAGAGGATCTCCAAGTTCATTATAAATAAGAAACATCTGTGTTCCTCTGCTTCCAGGTACAAGCTGGGTGGTGTGTCTGAGTGACAGTAGTGGTCATATTGAGGGCTTGATATGCAGGGCCTACTGGGGCTGTTACAAAGTGTTGCTCTGCTCTTTGTAGTCATGTGGGGAGATCTAAGTCTTTTACCCTTAGCCAGCCTTAGAGGGGATGAATCCTGTACTTAATTTCTTCCCACTGAAGCGTTGCCACTTGCCCCATGAGACTGCTGTTCAGTTTAGAAGGATTTTTCATTCTCAGTTCACTTAGCCAAGGGGCAAGTTCTGACAAGGTGGCTGTTTGAGTTTTGTTGATGAGTGATAATGAAAAAAACAGCAGTAGGATGTGAATGGAAATCCCAACTCCTACCTGGCCATAAATTGGTAGTTTTGGAAAGAAAAAATTAGGAAAGGAAAATCAGACTTTGAAAATCTCATCGATCTATAGTTAATTCTGTATAATTCTTCACGTTGGATGAGCCTCAGGGGTTGGGAATACTTGGTCAATGAGATGTTAAACTGAACATGTCAAGATTTTTTTTCTCTTGGTACATCTATTCCTGTTTTTCCTTGCTATTTAGATCTACTTGGCATATATCTTAAATTAGAAATGCTTAGCTCTTTCAACCAGATTTTCAGCTTAGATCAGACCCTGCAGAGCTTCAGCCACTGAATTAAAACTTGACCAAATGTCCATTCTTTATCTCAACAAAATTGATTTCATTTCTTTTTGAATATATGTCCTGAAAATGGTGGCCTTGAACTATTCCCTGTAACTCAAGCATATCACTGTCATTGTTATCACTGCTAGCAATTAGAACGTTTGTTCAATTTAGTGGACTACTTTATTCTAATGTGTTAAAACATTTTACATAAACATTGTCCCTCAGTGAAGGTCTCACACGTGCATCAGGAGATAGATAAATGCAAAGATGTTCACTGCAATATTGTTTGAGTTCAGGAAAAAAAAAAGTGCCTAAATATCCGCCACTAGGAGAGTTGATAACTGTATTTATCATACAGTACATACATGATGTGCTATAATAATACAGTATTCATGCAGCAGTTAAAATGAATGAACCAGAATATATATATTCTAGTAGAGTTATATGTATCAATACGAAAATATCTCAAAAACATGTTGGGTGAAAAGAAGCAAGTGGCACAATACAGTACATACATACAGTATGAAACCACCTAAAATTTAAAAACATCTAAGACTCCATATTATATATAGGTATATACATTTATAATAAAAGTAAAATGTAACTGAAGGGAATTGGAAGTGATAAATTGGGAGTTTGAGATTTTCAGATACTACCTAATATATATAAAATAGATAAACAACAAGTTCATACTGTATAGCACAGGGAGCTATATTCAACATCTTGTAGTAACTCATGGTGAAAAAGAATATGAAAATTAATATACATATGATTATGTATGACTGAAACATTATGCTAAACACCAGCAATTGACACAACATTGTAAACTGACTATGCTTCAATAAAAATACACATATATATTTATATATATATAGAAAAGTAAAATGTAGAAGAAGGATACACAAGAATTTCAGAATAATGGTCACCTCTGGGGAAATTAGTTTATGTCTGTAATGTTTTATTTCTGAAAAAAACAAAACAAAACAAAACAAAAAACAAACACAAAACCCCAGCTATTACAAGATGTTAACCATGGCTAAATCTTGCTGGTGGGCACGAAGGTATCTGTTATTGTTTCTTTATGTTTTTTGGTAAATGGGAAATAATAATGTATCAGGCACTCCCCTTCCCCGTTCTTCCCTGTTCCTAATGTCAGCCTCAGAGAGATGGCATGGCATGTGGAAAACAACCTCTAGAAGACTGGGTTACCTTCCTGTGGTTTTGAGAAGGTGATCTCTTCTTTCTTTTTAATTAAAAAACATCACCCTCAAACTCAGATTTGACATAGGTTTTGAAAAAGAGCTGGATTGTCAGGGCTCTCTCGTTCATAATGATTTGTCTCAGGTGTCCCCGGAGCCCTGCCCTGGCTTATGCCACCCCTGTGCTCAAAGCCCCCCTGTGGCCTCTTACTGTCCTCAGAGTGAAGGCCAGGTGGCCTGCAGCCCTGCAGCATCTGGCCGCAGGCGTCTCCCCTGCCTCCTGGACATCTGTCTTCGGCCACATCCCCTCCCCCCTCCCACCAGGTCTTCACAGGTCAGTGGCCTCTGTCTGCTTTACTGTTGTCCCTCGTCTCCCCTCAGCCCCAGGCTTTAGATGTTTCTCCAAGGATGCCTTCCCCAAGCCTCTCACTAGGGAACGTGTTCGTCGTGTTTTCTGCTGGATCCTCACTGCTGGGCGCCGTTCCTTGGACACATGATCAATATGTATTTATTAACTCTCACTAACTAACCTGAAATTAGAATTGTAGAGGTTAAATGAATCAGGTCACACTCTAACACCCTCTTATCCCTCTTTATGAATGGAGGTGTGTCTGTTTCTTTCTTTTTTTTAAATTGAAGTATAGTTGATGTACAATGTTGTGTTACTTTCTGGTGTACAGCATAGTGATTCAGTTATATATATATACACATATTCTTTTCCATTATAAGTTATTATATCTATATATTCTCGCTTCATTTTTGTTATACATAAGACAATAGGTGTAAGGTTAATTATTTTACCATTACCTACCATGATCTTTGCACATATCTAAATTTAATATTACTTAATGACACCTAATATAAAGGGAATATTGCTTGATTAAGTATTAGTAGTTATTTTTAAGTTACCTGTAAAATAGATGATCTGTCCTCCAATTCAGGAGCATATGTTGGTAATAAAAATTCCTAAGATTTTCTGATAGTTAAATATCAGTATTGGCGAGCACTATGCATGGGAAGGAAATCACTGAAACACATTCCAGGGAAGGAGAAATCTACATAAAGCGGGCTTGTTTTAAACTAACGACTTTAATCATTGAAGTAAGGATGTTTTTTTTTGATAGTTTCATTGTATCAGGCAGTTTCTTGGAAAGGATTCATGGGGTGGTGTGAGAGTCGGAATTCTCTGAGCTTAATAACGCACATGAAAATTTACATAGTGTCTTTCTCGCTTTTGTGTAAGGGCTGAAAGTCTGCAGATCTTCATAAGGTATGTTTAATAACATGTTAATCACTCACATATTGTCAGTTTTGGACTACAGACCTTGAGTGAAAGGGCCTTCATAAATTATACATGTCTGACAAATAGGTGATACATTTTTCAAATCACATAAGCTTTTCAGAATCGAGTCTGCTCTGTGGAGATAATTAAAGAAAATCAATGTGTGTTGGTTGATAGATATTTGACTTGAAAACTCATTCTCCATGCTGCCTCAGACAGTGGGGCGCCTGAGCTTCAAGACCACTGTTCTCTGAAGACTGCATGAGGAGGCGGGGTGGAGACTTCAGTGTGCTAGGTGTAGTCCTCGGTACCCAACACGCCGGGCTCTCGCCTCCTTCCTGGCCTTGACCCTAACTCCCCCTAGAGCTCAGGGCAATTGACTTGACCTCCTATCTCTTCCCTGAGTGAGAAAGTATGACTCCGTGTTTTAGTCTCCCTGGGACCACAGGAAGCTTAATTCATCAATGTTGGTAAAGTGCTAGGGAGATGAGAAGTGCTGTGTCCATTCTCAACAACATTATTGATTCAGTTTTTTCCTTGTGGCTAATATAAAAATCTCCACCTATCAGATAATGGCTCAGCATTGCATAAACAGCCAAGAATTGCTGGCAGAAGACATGTGGCCTGTGTTTTCCCCTAGGAAAATTGATGTCTGTAAAGTGCCATCAGTTTCTCTGAAAAGACATTATTACTTGATTTAAACTGATTATATTGTTACTATATTTTCATTTGCCTATCAGAGTATTTTCCTTCTGTTTGTTTTGTTTTGCTTTTCAGTAACTATTGGTGATAAAGTTGAACCCAGCAAATGCTTTATACTGTAGAAGGTCTGGATTGGGAAAAATTTTGCTTATCCATTTTGGATAATCCTGTTTGTCAAATAATAGGGGGATACATACACACATGTATGTGTGTATACATATGTATATACGTATATAGTGTGTGTCTGTGTATATATACATAGAAATTTGAAATGCTAATTTGTATTATGCATAATGTATAATCCTGTTGATTAAATAACAGGATGTATGTTTATTTATACACATAATACATATGTAGAGGTACATATATATTATGCTAATATGCTTATACATGTCTGTATTATTCTACTAAAATAATGTAACATGATAAGTAACTACTAATTATGATTTTCGCTAATTCAGCATTCCTGAAAAGATGTTAGGAATTGCAATCCTGAAATTACTTTCCACAAGTATTTTAAAAGCATATGAGGAACCTAGACCAGTTATTATCATTATAATTAAAACAAACTGAAATGGCATGATATAGCTGGATCATCTAGCTTGGTTCATCTAGCTCATCAAACTTGGTTCTGGATCACTCTTCCGTGCTTCCGAATTCCAGGCATAACCTCCCAAGATGGAAGATTCGGCACCATCAGTTACTGGAAAAGAGAACATACAGTGGGCTGTGAAGATTGCATTGAAGGTAAAGACTTCTTTGGGTGTATAGGGTCTGCTTTGTTTGTTTTAAAAAAATTCTGTTTCTAATGATATTATGATCATGGCTTTTAAAAAGTCCTTATCTTTCCATGATGCATACTGGAAAAAGAAATCAGTTTCATCATCTTATGATCACACTATTTGTGTGTAGCTTAGCCATGAAAATAGACAGTCTCCGTAAACACTACCAAGATTTTAAGAATTTGCTTGTTTCATTTGTCATTCATCAGTTCTTTTCCTACATCATTTATGGGATGCTTGGTGTGCACTAGATGCCATGAAACAGATTAAAGAGAAGATAGTCCTTACTCTTGAGGAAGTTGTGATCTGGCTAGGTCAAAGAAAACGTTCTGGAAACAAGAGATTTTTATGGACGGAGGCTGGTAGGTGTCCCCCACCATATATTCTCCCCTTCTTCCTTAGTAACAGAATTCCAGTTTTTGGCTGGGTACATGGACACCAGAGTAAAGATACATCTCTTAGCCTCTCTTGCAGGTAAACTGTGGCCAATGCTAAGTGTGATGGATCTGGCTAGGTCAAAGAAAACGTTCTGGAAACAAAGAGATTTTTATGGACGGAGGCTGGTAGGTGTCCCCCACCATATATTCTCCCCTTCTTCCTTAGTAACAGAATTCCAGTTTTTGGCTGGGTACATGGACACCAGAGTAAAGATACATCTCTTAGCCTCTCTTGCAGGTAAACTGTGGCCAATGCTAAGTGTGATGGATCCTGTGTAAGAGGAACTGTTCTGTGGCAGCTTCTGGAACTTCCCATATGTCTCCTTTGGCCCTTCTTTTTCACGTTTTCTTGCTCACTAGGTGTAGATGTAACTGCTGGAGCCCCTGTGACCATGCTGGACCACACAGATGAGAGCCTCGCCTAGGAATGATGGAGTAGAGTCTGGGAGGGGCTGGGGACCCTGTATCCATGGGATGCAACTGCCATACTGTCCTGGGCAGCTACCCCTGGGCTTCTCTGTGAAAGCTCAATAAACTGCCATCTGTCTCTTATTTTCGGTGTCTGATACTTCCGGACAAATATAATCCTGACAGGCACTTCCTACAAAGTGTGCATTTTAAGTGTGAGAGGGGGCAGTGATCAGGATGGGGAATTGCCATGAGGGAAGAATATGCTATCCTGGCATGACTCTACTCTTACTTGCTCATTATTTCTTCTGCCTCACTGTTTCCTGAACATAATCCTTATATTTGCTCATGCTTTTCCTTCTGCAATGCGTTCTCTACATACCTTCCTTCCTATCTAGTTAATTTTATAATTATATTAAATTATATAATCTACATTAGCAATAAACAGTTAATTAAACTATGTAAACATACAGTACATTTAGCTGCTATCCTCATTGTTAGTACTGGCCAGCTCAAATCTGGCCTCTGTTCTGAAACCTCTCTCAGGACTCCCCCTCTTAGTTCAGGATTTGCAGATGCAAACTATTGTATGTAAAATAGGTGAACAACAAGGTCCTACTGTATAGCACAGGGAATTATATTCAATACCTTGTAAAGGCCTAGAAAAAGAATATGAAAAGGAATGTATATATTTAATATATATGTTTCAGTGAGTCACTACGCTGTACACCAGAAATTAACACATTCTAAATCGACTATACTTTGGTTAAAAAAAGGCTCCCCTCTGCTTTCTTCAGGAACAACTGTCCCCTCAGTATCCTAATCCCAGGCACTAAGCAGTACTCAGGGAACTGTACTGTTTGGGGAAAGTGGCTGGCTAGTTATTTGTGTAGCTACTGCTCAAGAGGAATGGAGGGGCAGGAGGAAGGTAGCCCTCCAGCATTCCTTCTGCTTTGCCTCTGGCTGCTGCTTTGCCATTGTGTCCCCTCCCCCTCCCCAGGCCACCGTTTCTATGGCCACTTCTCTGTGTTCCATAGCAACACAGCTTCAGCTCTGCTTTAGCTTTGCCAACATGAATTCTAATGTCTACTTTTTGTGGGGTCCAGGGACATGGTGGCAAACGGATCAGAGTGTGGTGCAGGCAAGCTGTGCTTACAAGACTACCCCACCTCCTTTTTTGATAACTATGGACCTGTGTTATACGACTGACGATGTTGTGCTGTTCTTTGATTTCCAGGTGTTTCTGCTCAGATGGGATTGCTCTGCCAACATGATGGATGTGTGGGGCTGCGTCTCAGACACACCTGTGCTCAGCTGTACTGGCACTTTCCTCCCTCCAGCCTGTCCTGTTGCTATCCCATGGGCTGAGGACACAGTCATGCAGGTGTCTGTGCAGCTGACCATGGATGGCACAAGCAGGCATTATTCTGGTGTCTGGTCTGGGCTCATTACAGAGACTTATTACTTGGTCTTTGGGAGTTAAGACACACACACACACACACACACACACTCCCCTGTCAAGAATAGTGAGGGCCTTGACGCTGACAGGATGAGGCAGATTTCACTCCAGATGGTGGTCGTTGGAAAAAGAAACTGGTGCTGTCAGATTTGAGGTGTTTAGTCATTGAAAAAGAAGGGCTGATTTCGAGGATCGTTTCCACAGTCCCTCCCTGTTTCTTGGCTTTGTCTCTGTTTCGGGAACTGAGTGAAGACGTTTGTCCAGCTTCATCCTGTTGGTGCTTACATACCTTTGTTGGCTGGATTTTTGTACCACATTCCACAGCCATACGTTCCCGAGACTAGCTTACATGGGGCGATATTTCATTGTAATTGCCTATTTCATTGAGGCTCTTCTAATCTTACCCAATTTACCCAGTAGGGCAAATTCTAACTTCTTTATTCAAAAGGATAAAAGGTGATGACAGTATGGCCCTTCATTTAAGCCTGTCCACCCATGACTCCCAAAGATCATCGTTCCCCATGTGAATATTAGCTATTTTTTATTAAAAAACTTTTTTTTAAATAAAGAGGTTGTGAATATTGAGCTCTAATATTTCTTTCAGTGTTGTTGTTTTTAAGACTACATTGAGAGTTAATGGCATATTTTAAATATAATAATAATAGTCCAGGCATCCAAGATGAAAAGCAGTGTAACTTGTGTTTAGTAAAAAAAACACCAATTGAAAAGGAGAATTAAAAGTGTTTCTGTAATTGTTAAACTAGAACATATCCTTAAATCCATGGCATACAGTGGACTGCCTAATAGCCTAAATATAAACTAAAGATTTCTGACGTTTTCTTATGTCAGTGTGTAGGTTTTTTTTTTTTTTAAACTCAGATTAAGTAGGATTTCCAGGTGTCTGCAGCAAGTCCGCCTTCCAAATACTGGGAGAAATGCTCTCGAGTTCCGTTGCGTACATCTCGTTGCTTTGTACAGGAGTAATTTCATGATTTTCAAACAGCTCTACTGTTTCATCTCAGGACAGAGCGTACACAGAGAATCTTTCTTCCTCTTATTTACTGAAATACAGAAGGTTAGAGAAACTAAGCATTGCAGTTTGCTGAGCGGACGCCCCTCCCCATGTGGCTGGAACCAGGCGGCGCCGCAGCCTCGTGGACTGTGCGCCGCGCAAAGCATTGTGGGAGCGACGGCGGCCGCAGCCCCGGGCGTCGCGCCGCGCTGCTCCGACCAGCAGGAATGCCCCGAAATCCGGTGACTTCTGCTGCCTTGGAAGGAGTTCAAGTCCTTAGGACCTCCCGCGTACCTAGTTCTCTGGAATGCATAACCCAGGATGGAAAGGCAGGTGATTTGCGTTTCTGTTCAGAAATGTGGGGCCGCCTCCAAGCAGATGTGGTGTTGGGGTCAGGTGCGGAGTGAATATGGTATTCTTAGGACCATTCTTTGTTGGAATTAGAAACCCCCCAAATTGCAGTGCAATTTGGAGAGCAAGGCTCTAAGCTGCCCGAGTTAGTTTCGCCTGCACAGGAATAACTGCTGAATATGACTGCGTTTGCACTGCCCGCACACGTCTTTAATGAGGCCCGAAACCCAAAAGTTGAGAGGAAGTCTGGGAAAGGGCAGAAAGGCAGTCAGTTTTTTATTAGAAAGCCAGGGGGCTGAGGCTCATGTATGCAGCTGCCATCTGCTTGTCTTACTGCCTCAAAATCCGGGACCTGGGGACAGGAGGTAACCTGTACCATGTTGGCCGGTACCAAAGACAAACACTGGTCAGCTTCTTTCTCAGAGAATTGAAAACAGGTATTATGGTCAGTGTACTCCGCACCCCGGCAAGGGAGTTGTTATCTCTGGTTTACAGGCCGGGTGGTGTGTGTGTGTGTGTGTGTGTGTGTGTGTGATTAGAAAATGGCTAAAAAATGGCCTTTTCACTGTAATTTGCTTTTTCTCCATCCACCTCCCTGGTAGGTACAACAGAACTTGAAAAATGGCAGCTGTAGGATGGCATGTGGCCCAGAGTCTTATTTTATTTGGCTTGCAGAGGATTTAACATTTTTGGAGGGGATTAGTTCCTAGTTAATAAGTGGAAGAGTTCACATAAAAATGATTTCTCCCTTCCCCTGAAAAGTCAGTGTTTGATGACAGCCGGCCAGGTCTGGGCAGTTGCTGCCTCCCTTAGCTGAGGCATCTGCTCCCCAGTTCGCTATGGCCCACATTTGTCCAGGCTGTTCATTATCTTCTGGGCCCTAGAAGGCATTTGAGTTTGAGTCCCTTGATGTAGCCTTCCTCCCAGCTCACACGTTAGTGTCCCCTGTGCTGCACCTGCTGTCTGGGAAGCTCCTTCAGTGAGCCTGTCCTACCTGCCCCACCTGTACTGATCCTGTGCAGCGGCCTTCTGTTCTCTTTCTGGGGAAGAGCTCTGTGCTTTATTGCTATGTAGACCTTGTCACAGGTGAAGGAGCTGGGAATTCAAGTGCTGACCCCATGTAACTATTAGGGATTCATTGGCAGATCCCAGCCTGCTGGGTGCAGGTGCTGGTTCTGATTGCTGTGGCACATAGTTCTGGTCCTGTAGTCCTTTACTTGGTCCCTAAACTCCCCAGAGTTCTGCTTCACTTATCAGGGACAGAGAAGTGTGTTTTTTTTTCCAATCCTTTTTGGAGAATTATGGAGCTTCCCCACAATAAAAGTTATAATAATAACAATTATATACATATATATGCTTTCTTATAAATCCTTCCTTTATACTCAACTGTGACCTGCTAAAGGGGGGATTATTATTGCCCCTGTTTTGCAGATAAACCCCAGAGAAGGCTCAGAGCACCTGCCCCATATCTTAGCTACTCAGCCCAATAGGGTCTCAGGAGCCCATGTTTTTTGTTTTCTTTTGTTTTTTATCTGCACAGTGCAGGGCCCCAATTTTAAGCTTGATGTTTCTATATGTATATAAATGTCTATAGTCACAGCTTAGTACACAGAAACATCAGGGTTACTACTCACATTCACCCTATTGCTGAATAGGCCATTAAGGGAACTCCAGGAGGAAAAATCTCTAATACTATTTAAATTAATTTAGTCTCTAGTACTATTTAAATTATTCAATTTAAACTTTCTGCACCCTGAACGATTAAATATCAAAGATAAATACATTTTTAGTAAAAGAAAAAAAGTCTTAGCATTTCTAAATATTCAGAAATTTGCAAGCCCACTATCACCCGTTTTACCGTATCTGCATACTATTCTTAAAAGTTTTAAATTTAAATTGACACATGTTAAAAATATGAATTTAAATTTGAATTAAAAAATTTAAAGAATATGTAGTCATATCTTAAATAATAATAAAAATGAGTTTGATATGCTAGATACATTTAAAATGTCCAAGGAAATAATATATGACTACTAATTTCATTTTAAAGTTTGTCTATGTATTAGTTAAGATTATGGCACATTTGCCGCCCTTTGGGAAACTCTGCTTCTGGTGAAAAAACCATGTGAATTGCAGGTCTTTGTATTTGCAGGAAGCACCAGCAAGTTTCTTTGGCTCAGTGTTGGAAATGTATAATATATAATAAAACAGACATGGAGCAGAATCATTGGGGGACTTGGCAACATCTGTGCAGTCATCACAATCTATTGGTTCTTCCTAGGATTTTGTGTGGTGATGGGCAAAGCTAGTACTTTGATGGATATGGGATGTGCTGGGCACATGTGATGACACATGTCCTTATGGGAAGCCTGCCCCAAAGGCTGGTGAGCTGCATTCTTCACCTTGCTTTGTGGAAAATCTAAGTTCATCCCTGGATAATAATCTACATCTCTAAGAGCTCACAAGAGAAATTGTCATATGACTATTTAATTTCTCTAATCCAGGGTGTTAACTTGATTGGTTTAAGAGATGGTGGGAAAATATTCTTCCTGTCTTGAGTATTGAGTTTAAATGCACTTCAGAGTTGTAGCACTAATTCATTTATTTTGTATACATAGACTTTGAGCTTTTTGAGCTCAATTAAGCAAATTTATGCACATCATAAGCTATTTATTATTTTGAACAAAAGATCCTGATCTTTTTAAAAATAGATTTCAAGTACTGAAGAAAAAGAAAATTTTTATGTATTTATTTAAAAATATCTGAACACTAAAAGCAGTACTAAAATCAACAGTAATTCTTGTAGTTTATGTGCTAGAAATTCACAATGCCTGGATCTCACAGTCTCCCGAGGCATTGACTTTATTGAGTTATCTATGTGGTTCATATTGGTTGTGGAAGGTGGAGCCATCTTAAAAAATACAGATCCAGGAGAATAAGAGTTTTGGAAATGCCCTCTGGGCTACTTGGAGAGGAGACTCTGATAGCTCAGACTGTGGTATATATTAGCTTTGCCCTTTGAAGGCTAACAAAACAATCACTGTATACATTTCTTAATAGTTTTTGAACAGCTTATATTCTTATTTAAATATGTTATTCATTATAATAGCCATTGTGGTCTTCCAAAAATAATTCATAATTTGTAATTTGGAAGTCATTATACTGTTTAACCGTATGCATTCAGTCCAGGATAGCTCTCAGAGGATATGCTGCACATATAAATACCAGGCTGCACACAGGGCTTTGATTAATGGACCACGGAGGGCTGTTTTTATGGAGAGTTTAAATGCATATTGCTGTTATTCCTAAATTTTATTAATAGTAATAGCCTACACATGTCCAGCATGTGTGTGACATTTTACTGTTCTACAGAGTGCCATTGTATACCTCATCTCATTTGTTGCTCACAGCAATCCTGGGAGAGAAGTAGGATGTTTTCAAGTGTTGACACTGAAGTCCTTTGCTTGCGATAAAGTCCTGGTAATGCTTGGAAAGAAAAAGATGCTACAGAAACACAAGCATTCTTTTTACTCTATTTTTGACCAATGTCAGCAAGCGTTCAGATTGGCTTTGGACATATCAGTCTCCAGGGATAAACCCTATCTCATTTCTTCCCCCTGGTTGAAGGAAGAAAAGAGCAAAGTACATGAATATTTTTTTGGAGGAAAAGCTACAAGATT